GTCATTGAAACAGCTCCTTATATCCGTTAGCGCAGCTAGCTAGCACCAGATGCTAACAACAACACGTAAGGTGTGCCTCGCTCGCGCGAGTCGCGCCACACATACACACTCCCTCCCGGTCCTCCCGATGGCCAGTCCGGGCCTGCCAGTGAGCGTGGAAGTGTGGTCTGCCACAAGCGGGCGGTAGGAGCGGGGCTGTCAGCATCAGCGGGGCTGTCAGCATCAGCTTGTCGATGGTATTTTAAACTCGATGCGCTCTGAAACTACGGCGGCCGAGGACAAAAAATACACATGCGTTAATCGCGTTAAAATAATTAGTGGCGTTAATTTTTTTTTGCGTTAACGCGTTATTAACGCGTTAACTTGACAGCCCTAATATTTATGTATAAAAGACATAAAAAAGTGCATTTTGCATGATAGGTCCCCTTTAAATGTCACCAAGGCAGAACATCGAATTGATAATTAAATTGTTCACAATCGAAGGAGTAGTGATAACAAATGTCACACATTGGTAAGCTATCAAACCATGAGTCTAAGACGGAACCCATTCATGTTGGCATGAATGTCTAAACGGGAGTAGCATAGAGGAAGTAAGGTGGGACCCTATATTCACACATTAACACAGTCACACCTGGGAGTGGCGCCTCACTGCCACACAGTCTTTCACTATTGGGCACCGAGCTGCTCCATTGGAACAGTTAAAGGTTAGCTGCCCAGAGGTCGCAGCTCTCATAGTAGTTGTTGAGGGATTTAGGCTGGAGCCACACAAGGACGATAACGCAAACGGACCGCAATCGTTATCAAAAAAGTATTCCGTCCACACGCAACAGGCACCAGAAACGTGTCCGTTCACACGAGACCGCTCCAAAGCGCTGGAGACGCTGTAGTACATATGCCAGGCCTGTAAGTGGCGCTACTCCTGCCACAAAAGCAGCGAAGAAGACTTCCCGCGCATGGTTGCCATGGTTGCCCTTCTGTTTATTCTCCGCTGTGGGCGCTCTGGCTCTTTTTCTCCCTCCCCGAGGCAAGCGTTTACTCCTGCTGTAAATCTCTCCGGTAGTCCACCAGCAGATGAAAAACACCCACCTCTCCGCCTCTTCCAAGGGACGAGGGGACCGTGCGGCAGAGTTTCAGTTAGATTTTTTTTCGCCGGTCAACATGTCCGTTAAAGTTAAAATCTTCCGGACAAAATTAGAAAAGTGCCAGTCAAAGGTCTTCTTTGTTATTTATTGAGTTTTAAAACACATTGATAACGACTCTATATAATAATAAAAAACGGAGCCTCTCTTTCCCTCCCCCTCTTCTGACAGCCCAGCAGCTGATCTCTGAGCAGGGCTATTGCTTCACCGTTATCAGGAAATGATCGTAAACACGGAGCCGTTTGCCCCCCCAGAGCGTTTCGTTTGCAGATCTACCCACCTTGGGACCCGTTATCGTTATCATTATCCTTATCGTTTTCTGCGTTTCCATGTCGGCCTTGTGTGGCCGAACCGTCTATCTGATAGTGAACTGTAGCGGATACGACCGTTATCATCCTCGTGTGGCCGGGGCCTTAGACTGCCAGAACTTTCACAGCTAGTAAACTACTCATATTTTAAACTGTGACCTTTTAGTCACAAGCCTATTTCCTCTGAGCCTATCTCTTACATATCGTCCACACGGTTCCGTCGCGTTGAAGCTTGCCGGTGGGCGTGTCTGGCGCGCGACCAACAACCAATCACATTAATCTCCCGCCCCGGACACACAATCACGCGGTTTGATTGGCTAGCGCTTGTACTGGCATATGATTTGATTGGCTGGCGCTTCCGTTGACGCTTGAAAAGTAGAATTTTTCTCAACTTTCGAAGCGAGCAACGGAGGCTAAGCGACACAACGGAACCACAATGCAGTTCGGCAAAGCGTGACGTCACCCCATTCAAAGTGAATGGGAAGCGTCTCCGTTGAAGCACGCAACGGAACCGTGTGGACGTTACGTTACTGCAGCTCAATACATGACTGCTGAGGCTAAATGTGGAGATGGTGTCCTGAGACGGTCAGCTTTTGTTCTACTATTGTTTTATGAGTTGTGATGTGTACCACTTAAAGACATAAAGACTTAGGGGCAGAGAGATAGATGGACCAAGACTTTGAAACGTATATCAAATCATCAAAACAGTTCCTAATTAATGTTCTATTTAACAGAAAATGTATTTGATTCATTTTTTCTAGGGCTGGGCAATATGGCCAGTCTTCTACTGCGATAGATTTTGGTAAAGATATATATCACGTTACAAAATGTTTTCTGGTAATAAGCCTATTTTAATACTTGACCAATAAAGTTTGTTTTTTAAAGAACTTTAGTGCAAAATGAACAGAAATGTTCCAAGTTAAATTAAAGAGAACAAATATATACATATTTCCTTTTAAGCAATAATGCATACACACAAATACAGTTTCAGTAATATTCACCTATTTAAATGTATATCTGTATAAATATGGCATATGTATGCAAAATCGCATGTTGAATTATCCTTATTATAATGTGTACAATATTGAGTTTTTATAGGGTAGACTGTGTGCAAAACAAAAAAACTATTTTAAAGTAGTTCATTTGTAATTACAGCTTGTTCATAATAAATAACTTCAACAAAACAGTATGTTTATATCTTCATTATGTTATTCTGTTAAGTTAATTTACAGCAGTGTTGATTGATCATCCAGCCCTCATAGATAAATGGGTAAACAGGTAGTTTAACTTGTTGAGTGATGGTTAGTGGTTACCATAGCAACTCAATTGTCATTTTTCAATTTCCGCCTCCATTACAGTATCTTGCAGGTCTAGTGTTTCAGAGACATCTGCCTCATGCCCAGCCCTGGGTGTGTTTGTGCGTGCATGTGTGTGTCTGTGTGTGTGCACACAGGGGAAGAAGGCTGACTCTAATTGCAAAGGCCCATCTGCTGATTCTGGAAAACAGGCTTGCATCTTACAGACACAAACATTAGAAGAAAAAAATACTCACGTACACACATGCGCACATACATACACACACAAACATGCACAACACAAGTGCCTACCTCAAAGGCTTCAACTTAGACCCTGAACAATATGCACCCATTCTCTGGCAGCTGTGTGGACGGCATTGACTGGCATGGTTTACAATATGGACTCTATTGTCTTAGAACAAAGGCCTCTCCTCTCAAGGCAAAGGTCACATTATAAGACAATGAGCCTGTATTCATAGGGGGTGGCAGCAGGGGGGCAAAGAAGAGTGCACGTGTGAGTCAGCTTGAATTTTTATTATTTTAACCGGGTATTTAAATAATATCAAGCCTAAAATGTCCCTTTCAAATATATATCTTTTTTTTTATCATGTCAAACTTTTTTTTTAGTTGCATTACGTTTCGTTATATGTTGTATTAATGCATTCAATCCAGTTGAGCATGTATCAGCTAACAGTATCTATGTAACCTAGTGCCATGTGACTTACTATGTAATCGTTGTTTAGTGTAACTGATAATGATTGTATTTCATTCTACGTCCTCATTAGTATTGTGGTAAATTAAGGTTGTGTGCTTGTGCATGCGGAGCGGGAAACACCTGTTCCACACATCCCCCATATGAAGAATGATATATCCCTTTTCCTGTTGTTCTTTCTTTCACTCATTGTTACAGTGAAATAAAGACGAAAATGCAGCCCTGATATCCCGGAATTAGATTTCAAAGCAAGCATTCCAAGTCATATGAGAGTACAGGAAGGAAAGCATGTGGGGTGACACACACTCGACAGGAAGTGCATTTACAAATGGACAAACAGACTCACCACGTTCACACAGGGTATATCATTAAATGCGCTTAAACTAATGAAAAATAGATACATGTTTCAAAATTAAATTAAAAAAAACTTTTCTAATTAACACCTTTATTAGCTCTGTTGTAATACCTTTCAATCACAAAACTAGTTACTTTTTTTAATTGATGATTTGAAATTGCTTGTCCCACACATAGATTATTAAATTGGAACAAAAATACTTAAGTGATATGTCCAGCCATTAAATAGATAAAGCTGTAATTAACTACATAGCAAACTGCCAAACCACACAGAGGGAGGAGAGAGAGCCCTCTCATTCACATTACTCTCAGCCACTTCAATCAATTAAGAAGAGGATCCCAGATGAAAACATTGCCTCAGGGTTGTTATACAGCAAAGTTGCAACATATTTCTCCTCTCATTGAAAAACTGATGTCAACCGGGACACTCTGACTAGCTGTCAATATCCAAGAACTGCACCCTCCTCTCTCGTCAATAAATTGAATGTGCAATTCATCAGCCCAACTCTAGGAGACAGTATTTCTAATTAAAATGGAGCTCGTAAATTCGACATTTTACAGGCCCAGCTCAGCTTGTACTGTAAATACACTGTAAATAAGTTGTAGTGAGTGGCTTCATGGGCAGATGAAGGCCTGGTGTTTTAGTTTAACTCCTGTCGACGTGTTCAAGGAACAGCAGGTTTATTGCAATTAATTAGAGAATGTTCCAATGTTGTGCTCAGTTGTTATTCTATTCGGGAATGATAGCATGCACTGTCTTTATACTGTTCTATTCTATTTGATCCCTCTTTATTCGATTCTGTTCTTGCCAGTGCTGCATATTGCATGCTGTTATGTATTGTTTTTGAAGCTCGGTGGGTCATATCTGATTGGATTAGCAGTTTGAGAGGACACATTTATCGGGCCAATTAGAGCACTCCCTGGCACAGATGGAACCCGGAGATCTCCTGGGAGAACGCAGGGTCATGTTTTGGATCTAAAAAAGCATAACGCATCTGTAGAGTCGGCTAAAAACTGAACACCAGGTGTGTATATATATTTCTGTGCCTATCCCCCGGGCCAAATCATGCCTGCTGTAAATATGAATGCATTCAGAGTCAACATCCCTGGTTAAATATGTCTAAAGTAATCATGGGTTGAGGTGCTTTGTATTCGAACTTGCGCACACACATACAAGCACACATATTCTTACCTTTTTATAGTGTACTTTGCTTTGTCAAAGTGAAATGAAGCCCCAGAGAATCACATCTCAATGGCAGCTGGACGTCTTAGTCCTGCAGAGGCAAAGTGAGAGGAGACAGAAAGGCAAAGGAGAGAGGGGAGAAGGGGGGGGTTATTGAAGCTCAGTGAACTGAAGTCCCTGTCATTTTTCACAATAGAGACCGATAGCCGTAATATGTAGTGAATGTGGGGTGCAATGTGAATAATGGCTGCCGCCACATTTTGTGAATAGCCATAACCCACTCAAATACAAGAACCAGGCAGTTCAGAAGCCAATTCTGTTTGTGATTGCTTGTTTAGTGTTTGTGTGTCTGTGTGCTGCATGTACACACGCATGTGAATGTGTGTGTGTGTGTGTGTGTGTGTGTGCTCTGCTTCGTAATGACCTCTTAAGTGTCAGGGTATCAAAGTCTATAATGGTCCATCTCTGTGCTCGCTGGCAGTTTACAGCTAAAAAGCTCTCTCTTGCTATGATAACTGGTTTATACGGGTGGCATTTCACTGCCAAATGCCAGACACTTTTCGGAGAGGAAATTGTTAGCTCTGTTACTAGAATGCAGAGGCAGTTATTCACAGTTAGACTCTGTCTCTTATATATATATTTCTATTAGTGCTTTATGTCCTTTTTTTATATCCCTCTTTTTTTTTATCACTACTTTTTTCCACATATTTTCCCTTCTGTTTAGGAGCCACTCTCTTTGACTCCTTCCCCTCGCTCTGTCTCTCTCCAGCTCTATCTGAACCCTCCCCATCCTCCCAATCCTTATTCTTTATAGTGTCAAGCTTTCAGCTTTGTGTCACCAGGGTCAATCTCAATGTGAGAGTGTGTATTTTCACTGACATTGGAAGGTGTGTCCCTCTTGGCATGCAAAATATTGTTTTGTTGTTAACGGGAAGAAACTGTATTTATCTGCTTGGCCTTGAATTTGTCTCTTCCAAAAGCTTTGTCAGCGTGCTTTGCAATATTTTGACTGGCACACACACACGCACACACACACACACACACACACACACACACACACACACACACACACTTATACACACACACACAAACACACATGCACACATATCCATACAGAGTGTCAGAGCCTGGACCTCTGTGGAGCTCTCAGGCAGGGCTGTGCAGTAATTGGTTCTATTAGCCAGTACAGGAGGCCATGGGCAATGTCTGAATGGTTGGGTGGGCAGAGACTGCAACAAAAGATGGAATCACTGTACTGTGTTTGTGTACATGCATGTGTTTATGTGCATCTGAATAAGGGTGTATCCCAATGCTATATGTGTATACATGCAGGAGAATTGCCAGAGGCAACAGAGCAATCATGAGAAATAAGTTAGGCGTTAAGCTCCCCCACCTATTCAACACCTTCATTCAAGTCTCCCTCGCTTCTTTTAGAACACGCAACATATTATTCACACGAAGCTGGTCAACAATGGAGGGATCAATGAATGAGGAATGGAGTTAGAGGGGTGGAAGAGACACAGGTGCACAGGCGAGGTGGTGAAGGAACAAGTATGTAATAGTCGCTGAACTCGACGGTGAATGAGATTTTTCATTAGAGCTGATTTTCGTAAAGTGGAAAGGGGAAAAAGATTAAAGATGCAGCCATTGCAAAAGTCCATGCATACATCAGTGGAGCACCATTGCTTTGTTCCATCACTGAAGGGGAATTCTACATTAAATCCTACTTTGTGATCTTGTCGGCTGTCAGATGGCCCAGGTCAATAGCTATCAAAAGCTCAAACTGTGTGTTTTAGCAGGAATAGCAATAGGATAATTCCAAAATGTACAATCCTTTTAGGATATTAAGTTTGGGATGCCATACCATACTTTGAACAGTGAATGTATAGGGCTTTTCATATTAATTGTTTTAGGTATAACAATTATTATTTTTGATAATGTCTTAAATCTCAATTATTTTCGTCAGGATGATTGTGCATGGCATTTTCATAATAGTTTCATGCCTATTTGTAGGATCAACAGAACGGCCTAATTTATTTCCTTCAGTACATTTTTTGACAGAATACCATTGTGTGAGCTGGGTAAAAGATTAGCAGCATTAAAAGAGGAGATAGAAGAGAGACTTTGATCGAATGAAGGTGAGGCCGCTCCTCTGAGAGCAACCAGCAGCGGAGCAAAGACGAGGACAAGAGACAGAGAGGTTTAGATGGGAAAATGGTGAACGCTAACAGCTTCCACTACTGTAATAGCTAGGGAGGGGCGCTGACTGAGAGGCTTTGGACAGCGAGTGGCTTAGCCTGACTGAACAATAGATGTACGTGATGAGGAGACGGGAGAGATTGTTGTCTTAAAAATGTTTTTTTATGTATTTCACATGATGGACGCTGACCATTTTCTCACATTGTGAACAATGTTGTTTTCTATTATGAGAGGCAGTGGTTGTATTGATGTCCCATGTCACCCCCATTTCTCATGAGCCTGCTGTATGTAATTAGGATGACTCCACAGTATGCTTTTATGATGGTTAATCATGTATAACCATTTATAATCATGCTTTAAACAACAGATTGCGCCATAAGAGAGCAGAGATTGTGTTGATGCCTGTTGGTGGAGATTTATGGCACTTGGAAATGAAGCGATGTGAGGCCTTCCTTTTTAAAGGGTGGAGTCCCCTACAGTAAATGTTAATGTTTAAACCACAATCCTCCCCCTGGGTTTCGACAGATTCGATATAAGCATGAGGAATATGGAGCAATAGTGTAGATGGTCTACCCAGGCGTAAAATTAAAGACTCTTGTCTGTGTGCCCCACATAAATCTTTAAAAGAGATGGAGAGAAAAAGAGAGAGACTGGAGGAGGAAGGGAGGTGCACATGATGAAACAAAAAACTGGTTGATGTGTCCTGTGATTATGAACCATTGTACTACTATATGCACCCCTAGACAATGACATGTTACAATACATGCAAATACACACACACAAACACACACACATAACAAAAAACAAAGACACACACCAACATCTCCCTATAAAAATAGCTTTTAGGAACAGTGTAGCTTGAGTTTAAGACAAAGATTGGCTTAAAATACCTAATATGATTTGTTAAAGACTTGCTTCAGCAAACTCTTTCTGTAAAATAAAGGTCCTAGCCCAATTCCCTCTCATCTCAATACATGTGATGGATGCAGTCTCATCTATCATACATACCGTTTGAGCGAGAGCCATTCGAGTTAAAAACGCACATAAGCACACTGCAGGAGAGCAGGCACACAATTTCTTACATGGTTAGAAAACAGACACGTGGTCCATGTAAGTTATTGCTGCAGGCCCATGGGCCAGAGTGGTAGTCATCTATCTTGGTGTGACACTATCAGGCTCCCTTACAAAAACACAGAGGTGGTAAAATGGTTTTATTGCAAAATGTGAAAGATACGTCAGGGACGAAATTGACGGGTGCTGATACATGCGAAAGGGGCATGGTGCTTTTATCTTAAATGAGTTGTAACGTCCTCTGCCCGAAACAGACCCACACAGCTTCTTTTAGAGTCACGCATAGTGAATGTGCTAAACGTAACGCAGTCGATTTGAGTATCATGCTCACACCAAATAATTCACCAGCCAGTCAGAGGGAACTCAGCCTTAGGCAGAGTTAGGTGCTATATTTGCACTTAAGACAAAGCTAGTCAGCCCGATATCATTAGGAGAAAAACACAAAACGCTGCAAATGATGTAAACATACTTTATCGAGCCATTGATCATTTCTACATCTGTTAATATCTTTGTTCCATCAAGCATAACCATCTAGTCATCCTCACCCTCCTTCAGCCTATCACACTGCACCATCTACTAAGCTACAGATCAATACTCCCTGGCACATATTCTCACTCTCAAAGACTTGGAATGAAAACGCCATTCGATATCAATCAAGATCACAGCAGTGCCACTGAACAGGCACAATACATGACAATATTTTTTTTTTTTCATTTACCATAAAACGACCAGTCGCTTCACATCGAGTTAGATCTTTCAGCTTGGTTTATGCTGAAAGGAAGCAGATGAACAGGGAGTGGGAGATGTATGTAATGCAGTTAAAGTAAAAGCCCAGTAAGCAGGAAATCTAAGAGGGGCCTGGGGATGATGGTATTACAGAAGACGCTGATTGTGGACAATCTGCTGAAGAAGGAAAAGATATGGAAAATATCATTGGTTGCAGTATGGTGGATATAAGAGGAAAGGAAATATGGCAACAAATTAACAATCTGCAAAGAATCATCGGGTGTGCTATAACTGCTTGTTGAAGTAAATGGTACTAAAAAAACGATGTCATTTCAATCAAACCAGAAATCCCCTTCCATTGTCTCATTCACTCAAAGTCAACCAACCCAGTCCTTTTATTTGCAACATTGAATCGGTCCTTTAAACAATACAGCATTTTCAATTCCTGTTGCAGTTTCCTCCATTGATAAGAAATGCTGTGTTGTACCACGACACTGGGAGATTTATGCCCCCAGCCCTGTGATGACCTCATTGTTCATTGCCCCATAATTCAAATCTGCTCCGCTGTGTTGCATCACATTGTGTATGACTCATTTCCAAGCACCCCATTCTCTAAACAAGCGAGGCCTCCGCAGCACGCTATATTCAGCCACACAAAGTACACAGCAAAGACATTTCCCCATCAATACTGTGGTGACTGACTTAAGACTTGCATATGCACAGTGCGCACCCACACACACACACACACACACACACACACACACACACACACACAAACACACACACACACACACACACACACACACACACACACACACACACACACACACACACACACACACACACAGTAACACGCTGTTTAAATGGACTGAACAAGGAAGAGGAGAGGAGGGGTGAGTGCTATTGTAAATGATTTCCTGCAGAGACCAAAATAATCGGCAGACCTTGGAGTGAGCTTCTTACAATCACTCTGGCCTTGTATACTGATTCTCCATTCAGCACCCTAATGGCACTGTGTGTGTCCTTAAATATTCAATTGCAAGCAGTGTCTATGTGTTGTTTTTCGTGGGTGTGTGAGCTTATAAATGTGTTAGCATACAAGTGCAAACGTGTGTGTGTGAGAGACCGAGAGACTGATGGTAATTGATGTGTATCACATTGATGTGTGTTTGGAGTGTCTGTAGGAAGAAATGCATGCATGTGTGTGTGTGTGTGTGTTTTTTCTATTGAGTGGTGACAGCCTGGAGTGGGGCGCAGGGAGGTGAAGGGCACAGAGGAGAGGTGTGGACAGGAGATGTGTTGACTGAGAGAACAAATGTTTTTTTTCTTTGTGAAAGAGGCATATCAACTACTGAGTGAGTGAGAGGTTTTAAAAGACAATGGGCTGTGGATGCAGTAGCTAAAATAGAGAGCAGGTGATTAAACATGTAGTTCAGAGACAAAACGAGCGCTGAAAGTAAAGGTCATTTCCATAATAAAATAATTAACCTGTAGATATACTGTACACACACATGTTGGGACTTTTTATTGTAAACTGCACAGCATGGTTTACAGTAAGTCAACAATTGATTGAAAGGCTAAGATGTACACTTTGAAAATCAATAATGTTGATGATAGCCATATGTCTCGTATTTGTTAACAAGAACAATTGTATAAAGAATACCATAAATGTACCCCTTCACAGCCTCCTTACTCTAGAAGGCATTGGATTTTACTAGCACTTCAGAATGGCACAATGATAACCTTCATCTTCACTTTATATAGCCCACTTCAAAACTGTATTACAAGGTGTTTTGCAACCAATAAAATCACAATAAATAAAAGTCAATGATGACACAAATCTGGACATGGAATAATAAGAGCTGCCTAAGAAATACATTTAAAAAACTGCGACTGGTCAACTGGTCAAAGCAAAATTAATTAAAGTCAGTCCCAAAGAAAAAAAACATTATTGTGAGATGTGACATTGATTTTACCCGACTAAGCCGATTGATCACTCCAAAGAAAGGGAACAAGATTGTGAACTACGGCCATCAGCGTGTTTTTACTGTTACGGTGTCCATTCATTAGATTGACTGATTGTTCTCTTTAGGATTTTTATGGTAGGAAAGTAGCAATAAATACAAAGTAGGCAAGAGCCACAGACATTATCACTTTGCCACATATTTGATGGCTGTTGGTTTTACAATTAATTTACATTTATTGATTTGTCTATAAATTGTATCCCATTCCAATGAGTTGGATCACAACTCTTCTGTAATTTCCCGATTACAAAACGCTGATTAAAGCAACTTGCAATTAAACATTTAAGGAGGTGTGTGGACTTTTCATCTTATTTCACAGATTTGATTTTGCTACTTGTAGCTGTTTTTGCAGGAGTACATCTTAAGAAAACGTAAGAGTTATATTTTTTAATTGCTTATTCTGTCTTTATGTTGCAGTTTAATGCAGACTCAATCTATCAATATAAACTATTTAAGATCTAATTATAAGATTAAATGATATGCTGACTATTGACTATTTAATAGTATGATCACAGCCTACTCATTAACAATGCAATATTCATTGAGCAGGAATACAACATGCATCCCATTCAACAATACACACAAACAGCTCACTTAACAGACTACGCGGGCAGTCAAGCCAACAGTGTACATTGCCTCCGATCGGCCCTAAAAGACAGACAGATAATAGGCAGCGGTTGTTCACGCAGAAATTATTCCTACAGTTCCATATTTAGGCAAAGTAAGACATCCATCTCTGGAGGGCTATTCTAGTCGAGGCCATAGGAGCAATGAGTCAGTGAATGCCCCGAGATCTGACAGCCAGCCGTCTGCTACTGGTTTTCCCTTTTCCTAAGCATATATCCAATCAGGTTGCAAAGTTACTGTGCAGTCCTCTCACATGGTCTCAACCTCTAATAAGGTTGAATGATATTGGAGGCGAGCTTCACACATTAAGAGAGGTGAACTGAGCTTATCGCTCCTGTCAATGGTTGAAAATGCAGAGAGCCGGGGTTATTCTTTGAGGGAAGGAAAGGGTAGGAGTGAGGATGTGTTAACACATGACGGAGTACTTTAGCTGGATGAAAAAGACGGGCAAGGATCTGGCCTCATTATTTCTATACGGGAGAGAGATGTCGTCTAGAGCAGGAAAGGGCCTTAGAATGAGGTTACACTGGGCCCACAATGTGGGGTTGAGACAAGGAATGTGAATCATCGTCGCATTAGGAAACAGTGCAGTAAAATTCAACAGCTCCGCTTTCAGTGAAACTTAATCTTATTATTGCAGCATTAAGATTTGTTTTGGTTTTCATGAGTGGCAATTTATTTATGCAGGTTGGTTGTCTCTTTGTGCAAAATACAAAAACAGCTTCTGTTTATCTACAAGGCTCTCTGACTCACAAACCTTTACCTTGCTATAAATTACCAAAATAGAAGACTGAATTTCAGGAACTGCAAATTCTTTAGGAAAACGCTTTGTTAAAATGGTTCAGGGGAAATCAGCCCTTAGGTTCTATGTGCCCACTGAACAGAATTAATTGCAGTGTTGAAGTTGGACTCTCTAATAACCCTTGACGATGGAAATGGAGACTTCAGTAACAAGATTTTACCCTGGTTTCAAAACTGATTATTTCCCTGCTTGTCTTAATATACAAGTGTGTATATGTGTCTGTTATTGCCTGTCTGCAAAGGATCATGTTGTCTGTCGAGGTATATTTTCATTATGTCGAGGTTTGGATGTGCGCACTAGATATTTAATATATGATCTCTCTTGTATAAATCACAGGCTGCTTCCATTACAGGGTCAGATATTGTTTTTGGAGCCTTTCAAATCCAAGCCAAATATTTGGTTACATGAACTCCTCTAAATAAAGAAAGTCAGCCATCGGTCAATCGAGCAGAACCATCTAAATTGGACACCTATCGTAATATATATGCCCCCTGCTTTTTCCCCAAAAAATAGCTTCTGGTTTTAGTCATGCATCATAACAAGTGAAATGAATCAGTGACCTAATTAAAGAAAGACTGATAGACCTTCTGTCAGCAGAATTCTTGATTGTTGCTGTTGCACATTATATTAATATCATACAGCTTCAAGTGCTTTGACAACATTGGTGTTGTGTGGGTGTCACCGCTTAACGTTACCCAAGGTGCTCTTTGACACACCTTGCACCTTGCTTGGTGTGATGTCTGACAAACATCATGTGGCTCTCTGGAGAAGCCATCTGAGCCTGTCAGAAAAGTAAACATTCACTGTTACAGATGTAAGATCAGACTGAAAAGCACTAACAATGTTGAGGTTCCATTTGTTTCTCCACTGTTTAAAACAAATAAACAACTTGTGGGCCCCCCTACAAGCACCAACTTTAGAAATTGCACATCATAGTATAGATGTATTTATTATGGACGCTTCATTCTTCTCAAACTTTAAAAATGAATAATAATCAACCTGGCAAACAAATGCAAGTAACTGGAGGATCGATTACACACAAACAGATGCATGGATGAGAAATGACTTAGTGATGTTCATCTCGTCCACAAACATGATAATCTCCTTGGAGACAGGCGTGTGCTTTAACAGATGCTGCTAAAATGGCAGCCAAGCAAAACTATGTCCAATTTCACTAACACGGACATACAGATAACTGCATACACTGACCATTTCCCTACCTCAGGGGACCCACTTCTCTTACCTGCAACACTGACAGATGAGTCAACATATTGTCAACCACTCCTGTAGCGCTTATATTTGCCCTTTATGTCACACTGAACCGGCTCTGAACAGAGTTTGCACACAATATATCTGCTGATAGCCATTTGAATTTGGAGAGTAGTGATTCAAAAGGGCCAGCCACCCAAACAGACACACAGCAAATTACTGGTGAATGGTGCTTTGATTGCCAGATATTTGCATTTATTTTTGAAGCAGGCCACTTATGATAACTCGTAAAATCCTCATCAGACACAAAGAGGATTAGGCTATTTACCTTTTCAGTGGAGCCAGCTGATTACAAAGAGTACACTCTGTAATGTCAGTAAAGAGCTGTTTTTGGTTTAGGTCAAGACTGAAGAACTGTGCAACCTTCAGTAGTTTTCAGAGGCACATCAAGGTCATCTGCCACCCTGGATGCCTCTGCTGTAAATAAGAGCTACAGCTTTCACTCATGAATCCGCATGATTGACGTCTCCTGAGGGTGCACTAGCCTGCCGGATACTCATTTTATTCCTGAGTAGCTGGATTTACTCTGGATTTTAGACTGCGGCTGACAAAGCAGCACAGTAGCCTAGACAATAAGCTAACTGCATTCCAATACACTCAAATGACAGCCATATAAAATAGGAGAAAAAACCCCGAGGAGGTGAGCAGAGTCTATCTGTCATCCATCATGCCGAGGCTTGTGATTTATCATTGCACCCTGCAGTGAGGCAGATGCACGCGGGCACAGAATAATAATTATGTGTATACCCCAGCCGAGGAGCCGTCATGGGATAATATGATTGCATTGATTCTTGTCCGGAGATGTAATAGGTAACGTTGCATATTACTTAGCCACATCCTAGCGACGCCCATCCAGCCACAAGTCGCCGGACCATTATCTGTACAAATACGCGAACTACATTACATGTTACCCCCCGTCCATTAGGACCAGTTTCCGCGCCCCTTAAGTACAATAATCGCAGGCCACATTCCCATGGGCATCCGTGAGAACCAAAGTCAGCGCTGCCGTATTGCTTTTCTAGCAGGTCACTGAGAGACACGGGTTGACATATATAAAAGAGATTTACCGACGTACACCAGGGATGTCTGCGAAAAATGTGTACAGGAATACATATTGGATCCTTACCGTATCACCAGCCGCAGCAATATACGTGCATGTATACACATCCAGCGCAGAGAGTCAGGGAAAAGCTTTGCTGCGCTCTGTCATACAGTCCCCACAATCTTGGATAGAAATAAATCTTCCCGTCGATAAATAATTTCACTGATTGGCGCCTTGACTTCGGGTCTGTGGTTATTTCTTGCTGCTGCAACACAACGACGTGGGTAAATCTTACCCAAATAGGGGATGGAGATAACGCTGAGGGTCTAATAAACCAAAAGCTGCGTGCTTAGTATCCCGATCAGCGCTCACACAGGAGGAGGAATCGCGTCCGTCCAAACGCACTAGTCCAGTGGAGTGCTGGAGGAGGACAGAGGCGTATCTCTCTCTCTCTCTCCCTCTCTATCCGTCTGTCTGTATCCCTTCCTCCCTCCCTCCCTTTCTCTCTCCTTATCTTCCTCTGCTGCCTTTATGTTCCCACTGACTTTAGCTGAAGTCCACAGGCGCAGAGCGCAGCGGAGCAGAGGACCGTGGTCAACACAGAGAGAGAGGGGTCAGAAATGACAAACCAATTTGGAGGAGCGGTGGATGCTCGGTTGATCGAGCGCAGCCCGGCGAAAGGAGCGTTACGTTGCGGGCGGGCGGGGAGCCGAGGGTGGATGGAGGGCTGGGGAGGGGGGTGATGATTCCTGCCTTGGGGATGCAGAGAGAGAGAGGGAGAGAGAGAGAGGGAGAGCGAGGAAAAGAGGGAGAGATGAAGTGGGGTGTCTTGCGGAAAACATGGAACTGGATCTGGCTCCTAAATGTCTGGAGCGAGGGCTCCACCTGCCGTGTGAAACACACAGGGGTTCCCAAACTTTTCACGGGAGGTTTTAGACAGAGCACATACAGTACGACCCACCAGTTTATTAGAAGCCCTAACTACAGTGTGCGTGTGTGTGTGTGTGTGTGTGTGTTTGTGTGTGTGTTTGTTTGTTTGTTTGTTTGTTTGTTTGTTTGTTTGTTTGTTTGTTTGTTTGACATGACCTGGGTATGATTGCATAATTGTTCCTCAGGATGACAACAATATAGGCATATTGGCATACAGTTCATTATAACATTGTCAGCTAAATAGAAATAAATAATGTACATTATTTAGGTTACTCTTGGCCTCCCAGAACCCATGTCTCATTATGGTCCCTGGATTCCGGTTTGGGGTTTCGAAAGCCATGAAAGGTGGACTATTATAATTCAGCCTAAAGCGGTTTGCCTGGTATAGGTGTCAGCTGGGGAAACCTCACATTGGGACAATTAGCAGCAATGGAAATGTTAAAATAGAATAGCTTATCAAATTAAAATATCGTAATTGGAAATCAATATTTTATTTAAACCCAGGCTATGCGTAAATTATCCTAATTACAAATAGGCCTATATAAAAAAGTAAGGACTCATTCAAATTGCAACCTGTTGTTCGTGCTTCATGTAGGCAAATACATTACGAGTTTTTTTACTTCAATTTTTGGTGTAAATGTAATTTAAGCACCTATATAAAAGCATTCCTAATAACCTTTTCTTAAGTAATGGTTTCGCAAGGGAGTTTTCGGGACAGGAATTGTGAGATTGGAGTCACCATAATATCTGTGAACATTGTTTGCGGAGTGTCTCAGTGAATGTATTACGGGATTACTGTGGCCAGTTCTCTTACTTACTTTAGGGATGAGCCCTCTGGCTGAAGATCAGAGGGTGACATGCGCACTGCACGGAGCGCTCAAGCCCCGGACACAATTCTGGAAAATAAAGCGCGCATGTTGCTTCTTGATATCTTGCCGTCTCTGAATAAGCTTTAATGACTTATCCCAACAGAAAAGTGTCATCCTTTTTATTCGGTATTGGTGGAGGAGGTGGATGTGCTTGGAGCTCAGTGGGGACCTGTTGATAGCCCACCGGCGAAGCAATGGAGGTGAGAGGAGGCTTTCTGCGATAAGCAATTTTTAACTGTCCGTGATGTCCGTGTGTTCGTCACAGTGATAGGTCTAACGTGTCTGGGTCATCTTTAAATTAATTACCACACGGCCTTGTTGATTACATATCAAATTAGTAACTAATGCGTCTGCGTAATTACTGTAAATCATTCATCTGTAATGTGATTTTTGTATTTATACAGCAGTCAGTATCGCTTTGACATCAATGGTATAAGATAAAGATGTCATTAGACTTGCCGTGAAGGGCATATAAGTACTGCGATACCTCTACTGCCTATCAATGCCCCTTAATTAGATTTCAGATGAGACGTTGTCATTTCCAGCCCATCGTTTTGCTAAATCAAATCATGCTATTGGTATCATGCTTTGATGCTATACAGGCTTCCCCTCCAGCCAGAATGGTTGGGAGGCCATGTGTCGCTTTTAATTACCGTCACCGGCTGATAAAGCCTTTTGGTGGAGATTTAAATCCTGCTAAAGAGCATTAGTTGACAAGCAAGGCGCTTGCAAACAAGCGTGGCAAGGGCCTTGGAAAGGAGTATGTGGAGGTGAAAGGATCAATTATAAAAAACAGATGTAAATTGACACTAATTAGTCCTTGCACATGAGAAGGGGGAGAGTCAAATCTTGTTCTGCCATTATTTTAAATATCGTGTATCAAAAGAGATATCTTCAAGGAGAAAGAGGAAAACTAACCTTGGAACTTTTAATATACTGTCAACTTTCTCAAGTACATTGTCTGTCAAATTGAAATCTGTACAAAGTTATGTTAACACAGAAAACCTTTGTTTTGTTGTTGTTGCAGGTGCCAAAAAGAGAAGAATGACATTTAACTGAGTCAGAACGACACATTTCATCTGAACAACTTGTCTACAATGGAAATCATGGGTACTTGTATTCAGTGATCTGCATATGTATTGCTCCCTTTTAAACCAAACACATTTCAGTAACTGTTAAACGTATTACTAACAGTCCCCGCCGCCACCATCATTAGAGGCTTACAATTAAGGTGTCAGGCATGGTTGCTGCAGCCAGGCAGGAGAAAATAGTTTCATGTGCAGGTGGCACAGGACTCACAGTCTGATCGGTAGTCAAAACTTTGTGGTGAAGAGTTTATAGGGTCTTAACCTCCTGCCACATACGATTACTGCAGTTGTGACTTGCTCTCATTAGTTCCTGCTGCAATAAATAAACAAGGGCAATATGACCTGACGTGACATATCAGCTTTTGCTTTTCCGTGTTGCAGAATGGATTGCACATCCTCTCTAATATTATCTTAAAAGTTCCTTGACGTTTTTTTGTGTAGCTTTATTAGCATACATTTTTTACTTTACCAGGAGATTAAGAACATAATATTTTTGACATTTGAAGACTTTGGTATGGAAAGAACTCACACTCTAGTGGCTATGGTTGAGGGATTTATTTTTACACAAATACAGTTTCTGTTCACTCAAATATCCCCAAACATGTGTTATGTTATCCTTATCACTGTGTGGATCAGTGCTGACAGAGAAGGTCATTTTAGATTCTAAAGACAGTGTTTAAAGTAACTTTGAATGATAAGTCATTTCTATTTTCCCATTGGTCTCCATAAATGATTGACCTTTCATTGCTTATTATTAAAGGTGTGGGGTTTGTAAGGGGTCACAAAGCAGCAAAATGTGAAGAAGTCTCCGACTGACACAAAATATACAATATCTCTGCAGATACTCATTGTGCCTTGGAAGCTGTGGAGAGACTTCAAGCCAAACTTAAGGAGAGAGGAGAAGCCCCCACACAGGAGAAGCTCTCCCTGCTCAAGACGGTCCTGCAGAGCCCCCTGTTCCATCATATACTCAGCTTACAGCAAGCTCAGCGGAAGCCCCCGGCAAAGGTACAGCGTGAGCATGACTGTGTGGGTGTTAGCTGTATATTGAATGGTGGGGAAGGAGCCGGAATTATTCCCAAAATACTGAATGCAGGAACCAAACTGGATGACTAATCAGCTTACCTAAGCTTACCACTAAAGCCCTGAGACAGACAGAGAGAGAGAGGCAGGAAGGTACACACGTCTATATACTGTAACATGTTGAGTCTGCAAAAGTCATCCGAAGAGTGTCACAAGTTTTGAGTTTATGTCTGTTTCTGAAGTGTCAGCTTGTCTAGTTCATCATATCCAGTTCACATCTACTGTAGAGTTGTTTTTTTTGCAATTTATCAGATAATCTAGGTATGTATTGTGTTCGTCAGTTAATACCTTTTTTCAACATTTCCTCTACTTGAGTACATTTTTAAGGTTTGACTTTGTGTAATTCCAATTCCTGCTATTTAATACTTTTACACAAAAAAACAGTTAACTTCTACATTTGTTTACAGATTAAATCTAACGATATTAAATGAAATCAGCAAACAAATAATATAAACATTATGGTATATTATAATAGGTCAATACTTGAACAGTATAGTTAAGTATAGTATAGTATATTGAGTTGGCCCTTCTCCCCTGCTCAATAAGTGTCAGGGTACTCTTCAGTGTACCAAAGCCAACCACAGTTCAATCTTGTTTTTGAACAAGCTGTACGCTTAGTGCTTCGCCGAGTTATTTTTGCTTTTTATAAGGATTTGGTATTTTTGCTATTTCATCTTGAATGCATGCTCACGATCTGGCACCTGTTTGCTATGTTTTTGGATAGGGTGACGCCTAGAAACATCAGCAAAAAAACAATTAAAATGCATTCAGAAGGCCCTGCAAATGGGTCATAAGTGGTGATTGAGAGGGATTTATGTTGTGTGAGTCTATACATAAGCGGCCCAATAGACAACCTTTACATGTAACAGTACATGCTGTATTGCTACTTCGCCCTAATTCAAACATCTGAGTACTTATTTAACCGCTGTTGTAGTGGTAATGATCATGGCTTTGTAATCGTCTGTTGTGGTGTGCTTTAATGGGCTGACCCTATAAGCACCACACCACAGTCCACACACAAGGATCATTACATTACTGGAGCTGTGTGTAGTGTCAGCTCGTAACCAATTACTATCTCTACATTCCAGGAAACATGGCACTGCTGGATCATGTCAATGGTTTCTGTATTTTTATCAAGACAGACACTGACCACGTTTTTTGTTGGTTCACGATCTTGTTTCTTGTCAAACTTACAGTGGCAAAAAGAAAATAGGAGCAAATAAATTGAGGTTTTGATATAGCTCTTTCTTTTATTCTGCTACTGCTACAGTACTTCAACAGGTGTTACAATTGTTAGAATGAAATAGCATACAGATAAAAAAATATGTATCTTCCGGAAATCCCTTTTTCACTTTGAAACAGAAAACCTTAAAGACAAAAGGGAACAATCTTGTGGTTACGTGCTATTGAACAGAAGCACTTATCTCAGAACCCTGTATTCTTGCTTTCCTATCTTTTCTCTTTCTGCTCAA